AAATTTAAATCGACTTAAAAAAAAAAAAATAGATGTATTGGTTTACATACGATTAATAAAGATCTGTGAAAACAAAAAATCTTATGAAATAATTATACCTTTTAAATGTTGTTTCGTACAGCTTATGAGTTATGATAAAAACGTTATTCAAGTTCTATACTTTAATGATATTCCATAAAAATACAAATGTACATGCTTGTATTTATACAAGCACAATACAAATTAAAAACTTTTATTTGCCTACATTAGCTTCACTATATCAGAAGATCATTAGTTTGTTCGCCGATATTATAGTGCAAGATCACACATGAACCATCTGACACCTAAATATAATTAAAAATATCCACTAAATATTTAAATCTATCATTAATAAATGATGGTTATAATATTAATACCATTCTTCAGCTTATATTATATATAATATAATATTGCTTATATTATTATATAATATACTATAAAATATAAATATGGATAAATAGAAGAAACGTAGAAAACATGTATAAGATTTAATACTATAATTTAAATATTACCACTATTAAAATTTGTTTCTTTTTAAAACTAGTTAGCAAAATTCTATTTAATTTCAAGAATTTAAGTTTTTATTTTATTATATTTAATTAATTCATACCTAACGGATGAATATTTTGTTTAATTTTTTTGTAAAATACGTACCTACATATATTTTAAAATGGAAAACGAATAAAAATATTCGAAATAAATTATACACATTTTATTCTTTTTTTGTTTACTAATACATTGCCATCAGCGATATGGGCAATTGGGCTTACAAATAATTTAAATCAATAACATATTATTATGAGTACTTATCCTAAATATTAATTTAAAATTTTGGTTTGAAGATTGGCAGCTGTCATGAATTGGATAATTTTGGCTATGCGTTGAAGGTAATTGTGGAGTATTTCGGCAAGAGATTCGGACAGGTTGTGACTAATTCTGATGTTGTGGTAATTCGGCATTCAGTAAAAATGTGACTTGGACACCACAGGCTGTGCATATTGGAGGTTTTTATTTGGCCATTAAGAAACTGTAGGAGATTTTACTATGTCCGATTCTGAGTCTTGATAGGATAAATTCATATTGTCTGGGTATTTGGATAAGGAATATCCAACTGTCGGTATTATGTTTGATGTGATTTAGTTTAGTGGAGTAGGATGTCAACATTTTATTCTATTTGTGGTAGATACACATACGTATTTTAAAAATTTACTTAGTGATTCGATTTTAAATATTGTGTATCACTTTTTCGTCGTATGTTTTAAAGTTGATATTATAATAATGATTATGGTTTTTATTTTTTAAAATTATAGATTTATGCTGTTTTTATTATGTATAATGAATGTAGAAATATATTTTTTAAATCGAATACTACTCATTTTAGCTATAAATGTATGGTAAACTTTAACTATATTATTTCGTTACACAACTTCCATGCAAGTTTCAACATTTCATCTAGGGCATAGTCTAATTTTCAACAACTTACTCTTAGCCCTTGAGACTGTCATCTTATTTATAATGAATATTTTAACATGATAAAATACAGTACATTGTACTTGACTTTTATACAGTAAGATCGTGGTCATTTAAATTGTATTATAATAATTATATTATAAATCATCTAGTTGAAACTAGCAGAGTTAAATTTCCAAGCGTCAAAATTCAAAAGAATAATATTCTCTTTTCGTTTAAGCTGCTAGAACTAAAAGATGAAAACAGTTATTTTTGTTATGATTGAATAAATTACTGAATGTCTTTGGGTTCATAACTATTAAACAGTACTCTAGCAATTAATGGAATGTATTAAGTGAAATATGGACTCACTAGCAATTGTTTCACGTCAGAGATCTATATTGCATATTATTAAAAAAATGTTCACGGCGGTTATACAGTAAATAGTGAGCTTAAAAACACAATAAGGGAATAATTTGGCGTTTTTAAAAATATTTTTTTTTTATATAATAATATGTAGATTTAATTATTGATTCTCTGTAATATAAACTTCCAAACAACCATTTAGGCAAATTATTCGAAGAATTATCAAAAACTAAAAGATTATAATTGAACACCATTTACAAGTTTCTATTTAGCCGGTAAAATCTAAATTTAATCTTTCGGTTCTCATCCATATAGCTTTGAAACCAATAGATGCTAAATATATGATAAAATAAATTGGTTATAACCAAAAAGTTCTATATCATATTCATTGCGTCAACTTTACAATAATAATAAATTAATATAATTAACCATTTTACATTTATCAAAAAAATAAAAAATTTCTATAGATAAAAGAACCATCATATTATTTTAGTTCTAACATCACGTCCTCTTTTGTTTAACCAAATTTTGTTTCCCGGAAAACTCGCATTTAATTCAGAACAAAAAAGTTCTAACTAAGTGAAAACATATATTCACAACCAAAAAGTTTTTCTGTAGAACTTTTTAGTCCTTAATGGTCATTTTTTAAATTATTTATTCATTTTTTTATTATATTTGATAACTAAACGTTTAGACAGGCATTGAGTCAATACATAATTTAAAAACAATACAAAGCTTTTTTAGTTTTGCTTATAATAATCCTAAATTACAAAACTTAACTACCTACGAAATGTGTTAACTTTTAGATTTGGAAATCATTAAAAATCATTTATTATTATATATAGAATAGTTTGAAGTTTAAAATTATTTCTCTCTTGTATAATTATAAATAATTATAAACCTTTGATATTTTGAAATAACCCCAATTTGTATGATGACTTCATGAGTCCCTGGTATGATGTACTCAGGTGAAAACAACATAAGTAGCAAAGTCTAATTTGAAAAAAGGTGTTCTGTTGTTCACTACTAGGTTGCAAGTGGGTCACTGAAATGAATGGTGTTGAATTTGAATCTAATGGTATAATAATATCATTATATACGAAAAACAAATTTGAGCAGAGACCAGTCTGCCAGCTGCCTTATATTTTTAAATTACAACAAAATAACCAGTGTTGTGCTAATGTTTATTTTAGATAAAAAATACTGTATTCAGATAAATGTATCTATACATAACCCGCAAAACTCCATAAACAATTTAATAACTTTTAATTGTCAAGTTTTTCCCGACGCTTTTGAAAATTCCTGGGAATTTTTCATTTTCAACTCTCTAAAGTACATCATTTTATTATTTCAAACACATCATTGTAAAAACAATACATGCATCGAGCGTTAAGAATCTAAAATGTAGTATAATTTATTTGAATATCTTATGTCTTGACACAGTACAGATTGTGTTTTTCTACGGAAAACGACAATATTACTATACAACCATAAATAGTTTATTTATTCTATTATATTTATTAACAGATCCGAGAAGTTATAGAACAGTAACATGTATACGTGTGATATAAACAATAAGTAATATAAATCGCATTATCTACAAATATATTACATAATATATATGTTTACACGTCATAAAATAACAAAAATTAATAGAAATGAAAAGATTACTACTATCATAGTAAACCTTATATTTCTATAAGAATTGTTTGATATTTTCTTGTATGCATTGTTCTGATATGTTCCGTTCAATGATAGTTCGACAAGCTGTACAGTAGTATTTTTTATTCAAAGTTTTCTCAATATCAATTAAAAAAAATAATAACGCTGATATTAAGAATATTTGAGGTAACGTCATATTATCAAATGTACGATTGTCAGATAACGATCCGCATGTCATTTATATGACTCTAGTGCAAACAAATACATTAATTGATTAATAGAGAAACCTACCATAACATTATTAATGAAACTTATGCATATTTTGTAATTTTGAAAAACTGTTGTAATATTGTATTCTCCTAATACACTTTTTTCTTTTATAGGTACGTCATAATACATATATACCTTATATTATTACCAAAAGTATTAATTATTCGTTAGTTCATTACATTTCTGAAATGTTGCAATTATATTAATACATTTGAAAAAAAAAACATTTTGTTCGCTATACTCCTAGCTACCAGTTGCATACCGCTTTGATGCTTTCTATGTATAGATTATTCAAGTTGTTGAAAACTTTAAATAACATTTTAACTTAGAACTATTTTGCCATTCCCCATATGCGGTACTAATGCGTCTAAACTTTGTTTTTTATGACTTCTCCGAAAATGCTTAGTCATTTATGATCGTTTGGAGTTTTTTTTCACATGTATTTTTTTCCATTCTCGCCGAACTGGGAGAAGTAAAACATTGGCTGTGGTAGAATCGAAAAAACCTTTTATTGTGTGGACCGCACAAAAGCAACCGATGTCGAAAAGTTACGGTTTCTCCAGACCAAGAGATATACACACACACCACACACACACACACACACACACACACACACATATATATATAAATCTGAGTGAATCTCTAAATGGAGCCCATTCGTTTGTACGTTAGTTATGACGTCAATTCCAAAGAGTTAGACGTATTAAAAAAATTATACGCACTCACATATTACACTCGAAAGAAAGAAAATCGTATTAGAAACTGTTTTATGGGTAGAAATAACTTGTACAAAAATAGATGCCAATGCGGTATATTATATATTATTTTTTTAACTAAACTCAATTTTCGACTTTTATTTTTACTCATTTAATGTTTCCATAGTATTATACGCAAACACCGTTGGTTTCTTGTGTATGACAATGACAATTTCAGAGCGGAAGTAAATATAAACCAATCCCTAACACCTACACGCATTTCTATTTTACACTGTTAGTACGTAGGGGTTACTCCTTCGACGTTTGCGTTCGCGTTCATTATATTGTAATATAATTCCTACCACATAAAATATGTATACATAAATCATCATAATTTAAAATGAGTTTTGTGATAGACTATTGAAAATAAAAACAACGAAGACGATTATATCCGTCCATAAACTTCTATACCATAATATTGTACTTAACATTTCATTTTTTGTCAAAAACTGATCGATTTTCGTGTTTAAATATGTTTAGAAAGATCTGTTCGCATCCAAGCTAGAAGCGACCGAATCGAACGCACGAGATAGGAAACTATCGTCGTCGTCCAGTGGCAGCATGAAATCTAAATGGTTAAAGGCCATCAAGAGCCTGAAGACCACCAGTGGGCCTACCAACAACAATACGACACAAAAGGATGAAAAGTGAGTGGTTTTATAACAATTTATTAAAATATATGTATAATAGATATCCGTGTAATATAATAAGCAACTTAAGTTTTTATTTGACCAAATAATAGTAGGCACGTTTTAGATTTCTATAACTTTTTAATATATACATATACCTACATTATGTCTTATCATAACGATTATTAAATTATTTTCTATTTTTTTCTCAATTGATTCGTATTTTTTATAGGAAATAATAATGTATATTAGTGTTGGATATTACATTTTATTTACTATTTTACCATAATTTACAATAATTTATGTTATATTCTCAATTAACGTAGCTAACAGGAAAATTGTAAGATATTGTACAAAAGTAGGATCATGAAATATCAATTAACAATCTCATCGGTCGGTTAAAATCTTTTATATTTATTTTATTATTATAATTATTATTATTATTACTAAAATTATGGTAGAATTTGATGATTAACATTTACAGGTACCTATTCTGACGAAATTTATTATAATTAGCTTGGACACTAAGTCACAAACTTTGTTATACATATAGAAATAGCTATATATTATGTGTATATATACAAAATTATCCATTTAAAATACTACACTCATTTTTTAAGTCAATTTTTTGTGATTTTGGAAAAACCATCATTTTTATATAGTGAAGTAATTAATACACTGCATTTGTATAAACTATAAATAAAATCTAAGTTTGTTGTTGTTATAATATTTTTAGGTTTGTTTATTATTTTTAAAAAATTTTTTTGTATGTCAAAAATGCCGTAAAATTGGTTAAAAAAATACTCTTTACTCATTTGTTGATATTTAGTTGCCATTGAAACTGTACTTAACATGAAATCGTCAAGAAAATAATCGGTGACGATTAATCGTTATTATTGTATTTATTTTTTGATTTCCATGGCAACTGTAATGATAAAAAAAAATGTTTAACTAGTCCAAAACCATAATATAATAATATATGTAAAAACCAAACAAGTTTTGTAAAAAATAAGAATTATACATTATTTTATGAATACTTGAAAAATACAAAAGTACAACAATTGACTTAAAATTAGTGTAGCTATTCAAATATGGACCACACCGTATATAATATGTCGATTCGCTATTATTTTTATATAATATGGTGTCATTCGTTATGTAACATAACACTGTATAGAGTTTATTTTATGTATACATAGGACTGATGAGATTGGGCGTCTAGATAGATTAACGTTTAGTCAGATAAGTAGTCGATCGTGTAGCCTACTGCAGCTAATGAGCTTACAACTCGAATTCATATGCACATATATATAATATAATATATACTCACGGTTCTTGTCGCGCAAGCGCAGTAGTCGAATTCCTGTATACGTCCCATGAGCTTAAGTAGATAGGCCGGCAAACATAATACATTTGCGGAAACAAGATGATAATATTACGACGTTACAAAGGCGTTTCCCGGGAATGCTAGAATTATTACACTGTTAATAAAATAAAATCATATTTTTTATCTATGTAACACGGTGCAATAATTATTGTCATCTTAGATTGTATAATATACCATCGTCTTAAAACCAAAAATAAAGATTTATATCGACAAACCGTTTTTGAAATACACTTAGGTATCACTTATTGTACGGTTGAGTCAATTAATAGATCTCTGAGTTAGTATATAAATTGATCATAAAACGATGTTATTTAAGTCGTATTATGGATTCCAACAGTTATCTATAGGCTGACAGTAATGTCTCCATGACTCGACTCCGTTTTCAGGTACCATACCTATATAATTGCAGGTATTACATTACGGTTTCCTTCCCGATCGTATACGTTAAGACAATAACATTTTTTTACTTCATTACGATGTAACTGTAGCAGTCATTATCCATATTATATCACGCAAACCATTGAAATAGATATAATGCTGTTCACGCGTATAATTCTGTACTGCTTAAACACCAGCTGTCACACATGCGCCCACGAGTCGTGCTAAGAGTTCTCGAGAAATCGAGATAACTCGTGAACGTGCATTTATAATAACTGTGCAATTACACTCAATTCCAGTAGTATACAATTTTATTCATATCCTTTTAAGTATCATATTTCTCTTCAAAATTGATAATTATATGATAAAATATGCAAAACCTATAATTGTTACGTTTTATCACATAATAATATAAAATAAAGGTGTGTACAAAATTAAATCTATTTGATTAAATTACTGCCAGTGTCATCGAACGTGTTAACCATGCTTAAAGCCTAGGATAAAACAAAAAAGTATTGTAAATGTATGTATAGGTATATATTTTATTATTACAATTTAAAATATCATGCCCGTTTAAGACTCGTATAGTTATTTTATGTCCAACAAGCAAATATACTATACACATACTTGTTTTACATTTTTCTCAAAAACCATAATATTTAGAAATATGTAGTCTTTACTAAAGGATAAAAAGAGGGTGATTTTGCTTGGTGCATCACTTTGTGAACAATTTTTACCATAATAATAATGAATTTTAGTTATTTACCTAACATATTAATTTCATGAGCGTTTTCGGTGAAATGTTTTTTGAAAATTACACATTTTAGTTCATTGTCAAAAATAAAAATAACTATGCTTGTAAAGAAATATTTATCCCCCAAGAGTACAGGAAATTAATTTTCGGAACTAAATCGTAAAACTCAGTCATAAAATATGTCTTATCATTCCTATAGGTACTTAAAAAGTTACAATGGCTTACATAAAGAAAAATATATCCTTTTAAATTAATTTTGTTGTGTATACATGTATGTATTTGATCAATTGGTAAAAATTATCAATTACTTTATTAAATTACTATGACGTAACAAAAACTATTTTTTCTGAAAAAAATGTATTAATTACTTTTACTGTGAATTAAGCCCGAATAGAGTTTTATTTGTTTTATAAGGAATGATAAAATATAGGTATACTTTGGTTGATATAATATGATATATGTGAATAAAAAAAATATCACCATGATATGATTTTCATAAGAAAAATTATAACACAAACAATTTCCCTGAATGCATATTACACCATTCTTTTTAAAAACATTTCTCGAATTTGATGTTAAAAATGTAACAATAATTAAATAGTTAATATTTTTTTAATCATTTTACACTATATACACAGTGTCGAATATACTCTTTCCGGGACACGTAGTTATTTTTATGGGAATATGAATTCGAGTTGTAGTTTAATTAACCAACTTAGTATCATTGTTTAATATATTATTGTATATTAATTTAGTTGTTTTTTTATTCAGCTTTACTAACATAATGTTTTGTGTGTTTTTTTCATTTTTTTGTTTGGCTGTTTGATGTGTGCTCTCGCCAAATAAAAAAAAAATAATTATACTTATACCTCGGTAAAAAAAAAAAGGAAACACCAAATGTACCACGCGGTATCGACCATAATTGCAATGAGGTAATTGTTTTATTATTATTGTTTGTATTTTATACTATTACTATTATTATGATCACATGTACATTACAGGATATTATATTGAATGCATATAATATTTATAAGGTACTGTCGGACCGGTGACATCATTATAATTATCTATCTATACATTCTTTAAACTTTTGTATTTTTTACATAACGTCGTTGAAGTAAACCAAAAATTACATTATGAAGGTCTTTTGGTAATTTTTTTGTTGGTGTATTTTAAGGAATATGAAGACGCTAGCAAAAAGTATATAGTTCTAAAACGAAACAAAATATTTCGGATCGATCACACGTGGCTTTCAAAGGTCTCGGTCATTATTTATGTATACCATTGACGTGCACGTTCTGGTGTGGACGTTATACATAACGATTTCCCCTCGAGACGCTCCTGGTCATGGGTATATAATATAATAAGAACAAAAACAAACCGCAAAGTTTAAAATATATTAATAACCTGAGCTAAATTTAATAAAACCCGTTTTTGCAGGGCGTTTGTTTTTATTTTGCCTGTTTTATAATCGTTAATAATACATAATATGACAATAATATAGATCATGTCCGGCAGTTTCCAAATTATAATTGTTGGTGTATACTGTATAGTGTATACAACACAAGTGTCTTCGTTCCGTTTAAAAGTCGCGTAAAATTATTATAAATATATATAAACATTTACCCATCGATCGTGTAAAATAAAAAATTTACATTTCGTTTGCGTTTTAGTGGCATTAACCAAAGAGACATTATGTAGCGGTGACATTTAGTATCGGAAATATCTGAATAATGTATGTCCACACCGAACTTTAACCGAGGCGTTGTTGACAAAATGTCAACAGCGAATATATATACGCGTGTGTCCACGTATTCGAAATTTAATATTTATTAGAAAATAATATCACTCACCGAGTTGGTCACAATTACAGTTTCAATGAAGGGCGGACATTCCCGGGGCTGTCAAATAATATAATATGTATAATTTATATTATATATTTATATATATTTTAAGCCATTGTAGTTCAGTACATTTTTTTAGAATATTTTTTCTGCACGCTTTTTTCCTTTATTCTTTCTTTGCGAAGTATTTAATATTTCAATATTATATTTGTTCGTAGAGATGTAGTAATACTCAAAAATCATTCATTGAAAATCATAATAATATGTCTCACAACTATCATATTCAAAGCCCGTTTGACAGCTAAAAACTAATTATTTATAAAGATTTTTATTTTATTACTGAATTAATTTTTACGTAATTATTACGGTAAATTTACTATAAAAATCAACATTTCTAGACAATTGAGATAGGTATTTACTGTTATTAAAATTTTGACACATAAGTAAGTACTTCCGAAAACTCAACAGTATCTTCTCTATAAGTTGTTTTTTACTACGAAATTCTGAAAGTGACAACGTATTTATTTAAACTTTGAACAATTCTAGTTAAAATCAAGCAAAACCAGTCAGACAAAATTAATTGTATATATTGTTATTTATGTCTCTGTAACATGCTTTACCTAATCGTTAGATCAGATGACTTACTTTTTAGCCTAATAGTCAAATCAGATTCTATGGTACCCCTTGATCACTTACTATATTCTCAGAATGTGTAGATTTCTCGACTTCCTGGGTAGACTTATTAAAAAGTAGAAACATTGATTGAACTAAAATATATGTTTTTGTATGTACTTTATGTATCTACACTTCGGTATTATATACATTTTTTTTTTATGTATATTTATTATATACATTTTATAAATTTATTTCATACCTGCTTCTATAATACTGGTATGTATAATGTATTATATATTATGTTATATGCATAAAAATATTGCAAAATTAATATTTTTATTTATTTAAATGTCAGTTTAAAAAAAACCAGATTAATAATTTCTGTGGCATTATCGTAAAGATGTAATATATCATTCAGTGGCAATATCACTTAGTCCGAACCGGGATAAATAAATAATTCGGTCGAGCGATATATTATATTAATTCATGCTTATATGTATGAACGTGGGATGTAACGTATGAGTATCCAACGGAAATACCTTTTGCCTCCCTTTTGGCCTGCTGCAGATTGATGGGAGGGAAAACGAATTCTGACACGGCAAAAGGAAAATTACAACATAATATGCACATAATATTATATGTATAGGTTAAGGCCATTATAATAAATATCTAAGGGGACGCTTTAAAGTTTACCATTTCACTCAACAATATTCACCTTTATAATATAGTTATTTTATTCAATTCTCAAAAATATAGATTCTAAAAAATGTGAAAATCATAAATAATTATTTGTATTGTTTGAGATGATATTAGTTCATATAAAATATAGTCATTAGACAGGAAATATAAAATGTATTGTTTAAATTTGAATACTGAAAAATTTTTGTAAAATATTATAGACATAATAAAATATAAAAGTCATCTGATAAATAATAAGGCATCAGTAACCATTTTCGTGACCAATATAAAAAAACTATATAACTGTAATCTATAAATAAACTTAATTATTATAGTATATTATTATTTAACTAGGATTAAAAAAAAGTCTCAATTATTATTTACGTGTCACTCAACGAAAGACTATTTAAGACCAATGCAGTAAGTTTGTGATCAGTTACGACGTTTTTAATATTACATTTATTTTTCAATAAGACAAAATATAAAATATTTTGTAATACAGTGTCTACCTAATACAAAAGTACATTTAAGTAATATTTTGTTTACATCTGAAATCATCCAGCTGTAGATTATTTTTCCTAACCAAATGACACTCCGACCTTCGAGATAATGAGTCAAGCAAAGGTTGTCATTAACGACTGAGCATTATAAACATTAAATCCAAGATAAATAATATTATTATACAGTCACACACCTTATGTCTTAGTATGCATTCTGTCCTGAACTATATATAAACATGTATTATATAATGCATACATATATATATATATGTCTTTATTGAGATTTTTTTGAAATCCCTAATTTTGATCCCCCGTAACAAGGTTTTGTTATTTCATGCACTAACGCCGAATAGTTTTGGTAAATTCGAACAGAATCAAAAGTAATTTACTTCGTTCCGGCAGCGGTCGAATCCCAACTTTATGAATATGAAATACATCATTATAAATCGAGAATCGTTAAGACACAGATATAAAGCATGTAAATATATATGTGTACTGTGTACACAATGGGAAAGCGTACGACAAACAAATATAGAATATACGTAGGTACAGACCGTAAACAATCTTACAAATATGAAATAATGATCTTCGCACATTTCTCCGTTCTATTATGAACACCCCTGTAAATTTGCTCTCAAAATATGTCCAAATGAACATTATTGTCGAAACCTGAATCACCTTTCGTTTAGCCGCGATTGTATAGTATACAATAATATTATCACTGTACACACAGCCTGCGCGCGTTTTAACCCAACTTCATTAAACATTTAATTACTTTACCGGGAGAAGCTACTCGTCCATAATATTATCTTGACGAGACGTATGTAATTTAAAAAACAGTCAAAATAATGTTGAATTTATTCAGTTACATAAATATCGTTCTAGTTTAAAATTAAACAAACATACATTTAAAACATCAAATACGCGTTATTCGAAATTTGTCACGTTTCATAATGTGTGTGGGTATTCAAAGTCAACAAAAATAAAAAGCCAATATATATTATAATTTATACAAGTAAATAATATAATTATAAATTCATATATCTCTGTATTAAATTTCAAAATAAACCGTTACATTTATTTTGAAAAACCATATTATAAGTTGTTATAAACATGAAGTTTTATTATATTTTTAGTTAGCTCTAGTTGAGTACATATTATATTAATAAAATACGACTATTGTTCTTGAATTTACACTATAATATTTAGGTAATTATAGTTAATTTGATTATTATGGAACTATATAAGTAAGTAACTTTAAGTAATACTTCCTTATGTTACAAGTGTGTATAATGCGCTTTTAGTTCAAAAATTAAACAGTCGACGTGGTAATACTCATACAATTCGGTTGTATTTGCAAATTAATAGACATTTATGTTGGTCGACTTTTTAACTAAAACTATTTCTTTTTCCGTTAAATAGTAAATAAATTGCAACTGAAAGTTTTTCCATCTGTCAATGTCGTCTATCCACTCTCTCTTGTTTCACGATTAATCACCAAACGTAGTACTACACGCTAGCTTTTTCTAGAAGCTATATGCTTCTTTACTTCAAACCAATTTCAAATGTTGGCTGGGTTTTATTTTTATTTCCAGAAAATCAAATGTTAAAAGTCATTAGTTACATTGTAAACATCTAAATTATATATGTCCACAGTATCTGAAATCAGAACACACTACACATATTAAGGTAACTATAATCATAGTCTTAAAAATGAATTATATAACTTCAATGCTATGTATTTTATTTGTTTTGGTCAAAATGTATTAGTTTTACAATAACAATTATAATATAGTTAAATATTTGTTAATAGGTACTTGAAATTCTGAACATAATATTCATTCCATATATTTTTTTGATTTTCTAATTAACTGTTCTTTTTTTCTCCAAAATTTGGTGGATGTTGATTAGTCTCTGGGAAGTTATCAGTGAAAGTTAATTTCAATACCAATTTGATTATTATTTTGGAAGACAAATTATTTTTAGATTATGACTGTTGATAACTGATGTCATTGAATAAAAATATATTTTATATTAACTTTAATAAATATTAATAACAAGAAACAAACAAATTATTGACAAAGATTTATTATTAAAATTATATTTAACAATATTTAACTAGAATTATTAAAAAAAAAAATAATACATATTTAACATTTTGAATGTGAGGCATTTATTTTATCTATTTTGCCTTATGCATAATATTTAACATTGTTTTAATGCATCATATTATTCCCAGCCCTTGTGATTATAGTATATACTATATTTCATGGTACATCGTATAGGCATGTTACA